TTATAAGATTGGTAATTGTTATTTATTTAACATAAAACATATTATTAATACAGTGTAGATACAATGGGCGTTCTTGCAAAAGGTGATGTCTTACAGACAGATGAGTCCTAAAATGCTGTCAAAGAACGTTTTCAGTAAGTGTATGGTGTATATATGTTCCAACAAAAAGATTCAATATAAAAAAGAGCCAAGTCCCTTTACGCAATTCTTCCATCGTAAAAGATTTCGAGATCGCATAGAAGCCAAGTCCAGCAGTGTGATTCTATAAGACTTCATTCTAAACTTCGAATATGAATCCGCTGTGAGTAGTAGTACACTAGCGCTACACTTGCGAGTTGAACTAAATTGACAGCAACACTTTGATAGATAAAGTATGAGATGACGTTAAAAGTGGCATTCTAAAATTTAATTAAATTCTACTAGTTTGCCAACCTATCACATAAAGAAAAGACGTGTTCGTTCCCTTCATCATCGCATCACGTGTGAATGGTTGTGATAATTGAAAAGATTTTTCTGTAAAGTCGAGAAATTATATTTTAGATATTGTACAGGCCTTAAATCCGTTGTCGTCCGTTAAGCCTGTATTTATATATCAGTAAAATGTCATATTGCCTATTAATCGTAATCCAAGCCGATCGTGTGGGAAAGTAAAGCTTCGGCACGAATATATCGGCTCTACCGAAGTGATACCATGGCCTGGTGGAGAAAACCGGCGTGTAACAACCACAGCGGCCTGCGTTGTGTTTCGCCGTGTGAGTAAGGTTACTGGAGGCCCAAACACTACCCGTCCCCCCCTGCTTTCCCAATCCTTAAATATCCGAAACCCTCATCCCAAAAAGGCCGTCTACACACTCGTTACTCCTTTGGTGTTGCGGGTGTCTATGGGCGCGCTGATTGCTTACCATCAGGTAATCAGTATGCTTGTTAGCTGACAGATACTATAAAAAAAATTACTTTAACGTACTGGTCCACAGTTGTGGTCTCATATATAAAAAACTTGTTGGCCTCTGGTTGGCAGAAACTTATCAAGGTTTATCGTGGGTAAGTGCCTCAAATGTTTCAGGCATGAAGCTCAGAACGTGCAACCTGTAACGTCAACTGCCTAGTTTAAGACCAATTTTTAGTTTCCTTTTTTAAATACTTACGTAGACTACGCTGGGCCAGTATTGGTGGCCAATCGTAAAGGCTCTGCCTTTATGCGACTTACTAATGCCTACATTTGCATCTTTGTTTGCTCGGTGGTGAAAGCCGTACGTGTGGAGCTCGTTTCCGACTTCACCACTGAGGACTTTATGGCCGCTTTAAATCGTTTTGAGCGCGTCGTGGCAAGCCTCGAAGCATCACATCCGATAAAGGGACTAACTTTGTAGGTACGACGAATGAAATGTGTAGGTTCTTAAAATCATCGCGGGTGCGGACGGCGAGTAAGGGTAGCTAGCCAACCGACCAGAACCAGAGCGTACGGCGCGTAGCGTTCCGCGCGCGCATCGAAGAGCCAATAGACCTCCACAGACGGGGCCCCATAGGGCTGATGTTCAGCCGGGGTTGCGGGGTAAGCGCAATGAGGCACCGCGACCTCGGCCTAGAGCAGGAGTATAGGAACAGGGGAGTTTTTAGTCAGTAAGAGTCTGACACTCCCTCCCGCCCAACCCTGGGCAGGCATTTGATGATTTTCCCCTCACAAAAAAAAAGATTATTAAAATCATCGAATTTAGCATCTGAAATGGCGCAACAAAGCTTCAAATTCATTTTCAGGCCTCCATGCAACCTACGCTTCAATTCTCTGGCTGAAGCTACAGTCATTTAAAAAGGTTACAGCATTTTACACACTTCACTTTCGAGGAGATGGCTCGTCAGATGGCCTGTCTGGGGCGGTGCTAAAACTACGAAACTTTTTCATTAGGCATAAGTGAGAGTATTATAAAGGTAAGAGTAAACAAATATTACCAGAATATTCCAAACTGCTAAGCTATCAAGAGTTACTTACTATACGGCCGACGTATCTTGGCGAGTCTGAAGTCAGCCTTGGCGAGTCTGCGCAATGGATCTTTTAGGAACAAAATTGTGTACTGCGCAGCCGATTAGCTAATCGGCTAACTTCAGACTCGCCAATATACGACGGCCGTACTATACACGTGTTATTGTGAGTCGACCATAAAAGATACGAAGACTACTGTTGTGAGATATTTTGTAATTTTAATTGTATCATGTAGTCAGTAAAAACTTTAATTAAGTATAATTTTACTTTAAAATGTTGGTTTGATTTTGGTGATCATTTGGTATTTTGGGTTACTCGTGATTTACTTGGAATTATTTTACTTAAATAGGATAGAAAAGTGTTAAAACTTTGGTTATAATTTTATGTTAATTATAACCAAAGTTTTAACACTTAATCAAAGTTTTACTGCTAGACATAGGCCTCCTCAATTACACGCCACTGAGGTCGATGTTCAGCTCTTCTCATCCAACCACTGCCAGCCACCCTGCGGATATCGTCAGTCCACCTAGCTGGTGGGCGCCCTACACTACGTTTACAAACATACAATTGCACATACAGATCCACCCAGACCCGGAACAACAACTTGTGGATCACACAAAGAATTTTTCCGTGAAGGAATCGAACCCGCGACGCGTTGCGCGGCAGCCAGGATTCGTGGTACCTATAATTGCCCACCCACCGCGCCAAACGTGCAGTCAAGTCAAATTATAATAATAAATCAGAAATCGCCAATCCACCTTGTGGAAAGTAGGTAATTAACAAACCGACTTCAAAAAGTATACTAAAAAGCAAAAAAATATTTTCTTTGTACAAAGTAATATATGTTTTCATTTAGGTAAGTAGAAAATTATATTATTAGCAATTTTATAATCTTGATGTCGGCGTCAAGTAAGTGTCAGGTGCCAAGTAAAACAATGATGATTAGTAGGAACCGATCAATAAATGTTTCTAATACTGTTGTTGTTTTGTATGTAGCATTTACTTGGCACCGACTTCGAGATCATAAAAATAGTTAATAATATTATTTAAACCTTTCCCATGTGAGAAGATGTCTTAAATCACTATACTCGGAATTTTAATTCCATTCCAGATTTGACAATTTCAGTGTTGCAACGTTATAACACGTTCTAAATAGTGACGTTGCGAAATTATTCGATATGGAAATCGAATATTTCTGAATCGATTCCTCTCGTTCATAAAGTTACTCTCGTAAACTAAGTTTTTCAGGAAATAAAAGATTTCCGAACCGATAATTTAGTTTTGACAAGTAATTAACGATCTGAGACTTTTCTTTTGTAATTGTGTGTGAAATTATAAAAAATGGTATCATGAAGGAACATGACAAATAAAACAGACATTTTATAAATTGTCGCCGTCCTCGCTATCGCTATCGCTGTTACTTTCTGTAACATTTATTATGAATTGTGTCTGTGATATTTATTGTCAATTAACATATCTAGCTTACTAATTTTTTCCTCTTCTTTGACAACATGGGATACGCATTTAGACCATTCTGTAGCCGTCATTTTGTGAATGCCTTCCTGAAACTGATTCACTTATTGTTTATCGATTTTTGTGTTCATCACTATACTGTTATGTGGTATCATTATTTCACAAAATGACAGCAAGTCATGTCAAATCAGGAATCGAATTAAAATTCTGACTATAGTAGAAACTTATAGGGTAGTAATGAAAATGACGTAATAAATAAATAAATCTTTATTTCAACATAGTTCTACTGATACATCTATTACATTTTATTTAATAACATTGCACATATTGGCCGCACTATAACATAGATCGTACAGTACTACTTTGAATATAAATATCAACAACAAAACACATGTGGCCTTTATAGTTTTAATACAAACTAGGCATGTAATGGATATGAAATTTCAGATCCGGATTAGATATTTGATGTAGGAATGATTATTATACGATTACGAATACAGATATGAAATTATTTCGGATTATCCGTGATTTCGGATATCGGAGGGAATGAAATTTCAAAAAACATCTTATGTAATTTATTCTTGCGAACTTTTAGCAAAATGACTGCCCAAGACCTATTTAACGAAACCTCATCTCTCTAATCTATACAAAATCATGTTTTACTAGCTTCCGCCCGCGACTTCACCCGCGTGGTACGTTGATAAAAAGTAGCCTATGTCCTATTCCGAAGTGTACCCTATGCTTATGCCAAACTTCATCCAGATCCGTCCAGCTGTTTTGGCGTGATTGAGTAACAAACATCCAAACATCGTGACTTTCGCATTTAAATAAATAAATAAATAAAATACAATCAGTGTTGGGCAAATTTTAATTGCAAAAACAATTAAAGATTAACAATTAATTAACTGGTAAATGTAACCACAACAACTAACAATTAATCAATTGTAATTGTGAAAAAATACAATTAACAATTAATTAATTTTAAACTTTATAAGTAACAATTAACAATTAATTAATTGAACTAACAATTAATTAATTTTCAATTGTTTTGTTAATTTTAATTGAAAAAAGAACAAATAAAAATACCGCTGTATAATATAAAGCCGGTAGAAAATAAACTTAGTCAATCTAATAATAATAGTTAACTGACCGATAGTTATAGCTTAAACTTAATTTTCCTAAATCTGTACTAATTTCATTTTGATATATAAAGTTAATTGTTATTTTTAATTGTTTTATAAACCAACTAAAAAAGTTAATTGCAACAATTTTAATTGTGAGTTGCAATTGACACACGTTAATCAAATTAATTTAATTGCAAGGTGCAATTAAAAGTTCAATTGCGATTAAATTAATTGTAATTAATTTAATTGCAATTACTTTTTTTGTCAATTAACAAGATAATTGATAAATTTATTGATACAATACTACAAATAATATACACGAAATAGGCTACTTTTTAACCGACTTCAAAAAAAGGAGGAGGTTCTCAATTCGATTGTATTTTTTATCAACTCAACATACCACGCGGGCGGAAGCTAGTATCAAATAAAGTATTGATTGTCTAGGCGGATAGCTGTTGGCAGTGGTTGGCAAGAGTTCTGATTCCAGTGGGCGCGGCGACTCTAGTATTGTCCCCACGTACTGCGGAGTTGATCTGAGCGTTGTGTAGCTCTGCGACCTGGGTGGAACATGCCGCAGCAGGGTCGCCAGATCCCGTCACACTACCCAACCTGGATACACAACAATATTAATTTATTAATAAACCAACATTACGACTTATACCACAAGTCTCCAGACCCCATTATATTTGTCCATATATAAAGTCAAAATCAAAATCATTTATTTCAACTAAACCATAAATATATACTTTTGCAATGTCCTAATTGAACAGTACCAGTCTGTTAGTTATACTATTTATAACTCGAGAACAGCTGAACCGATGTGGCTAAAAATTGGTAAGGAGGTAGCTTAGAACTGGGAGAAGGGCATAGGATAGGGTAGTAGTAGTAAAGTAGGGTACGTAGAGTAGGGTAGGTAAGGCAAGGTAGGTAGTGTAGGGTAGATGGCGTTGGGCAGGTAGATAGAGCCAATGGTTTAGAGTGAGTAGTAGGTAGTGGGGAAAAATTCGGTAACCTCACTTACATGGTGAAACACATCTTTGTGGTTGTTTCACGCTTGTTTTCTGTGAGGCCGTGGTATCACTCCGGTCAGCCCGACTATTAGTGCCGAAGCATGGTTTCACATATTTAAAATAGATGATAGAAGTATACGAACCAGAATTCATTTCCTGGATGTGCATTCCCGTCCCAGGGGTACGTCAAGACTAGCAGCTTGCCCGCGTCCTGGCCCTGCAGCTTGGAGGACGGCTCGCGGGTCTTTATTGTCACGTTGATGCCGCCTGCAAGTTAAATAATTATTTTATTTTAACCCCCTTTTTGGGAGTGGAAAATCATCTAATGACTTCTCAGGGTGGGGCGGGAGGGAGTGTCAGACTCTTACTGATTAACCCCCACCCCCTTTCTTTCTCCTGCTTTAGGCCGAGGCCGCAGTTCCTTATTGCGCTTACCCCGCAACCCCGGCTGAACATCAGCCCTTTAGGGCCCCGTCTGTGGTGGTCTATTGGCTCTTCGAGGCGCGCGCGGAACGCTACGCGCCGTACGCTCGGGCCTGGTTCTGGTCGGGCGGCGAGCTACCCTTACTCGCCGACCGCAGACCCAAGCAAGACTCAAAAGCGACGGTGTTAAAAGTTTGACGTGTCTGTGTGTGTCATAGTAGCTCTCAAACGAATAATCCGATTTTAATAAGGATTTTTGTGCCCAAAATATGAAAAATAAACAGTAGAAATAATGGCTGATAACCGACCAATTACAAAGCTTGTTTATGTAGTAAATTGAATTTGAATGCACTTACCATTGGGATGTTTCTTGTTTTCGAAGAATGTTTTATACTCTGCAGTCTTACCCGAACCAGTCACGTTTGAGAACATCGCTGTGGAAATAACAATAATTATTGATTAACTTAAAGGAATGCAGTTCGACAGCAAATTATTTTGGTCAGCTGAACATCAGCACTATTCGTTGTCTGCACAATGACAACGTCCCTAGTGGCCGCATCTATTCAGGACTTGTCATCTGTCAAATCATGTCAACTAGATGATAAGATATTGATTTTCGACTAGTTTTTCAACGAAATTGAAAAAAATAGTGTAAAAAGTGAGTGTGTATATTACACCTAGCGATTTTCTTCCTCGTGAAAAATATGGATATTATACGTACGGGATTTGAATTTTAATTATCTTCACAGCAGCTATATCCCTTTTTGTCTTTGCTGTAATGTCCACTTTGATGTTGGAAACGAATAAAACTTGCACGAACTGTTTTTCCCATTATTTTTACAATTTACGACACAGCATGTAGTATGACACATATCGCAAATTTTTACGTTTTTACTTAAAATTATAAAGGAAGTTATGAAAATAAAGCAATTTGACACATGACAGCCCAGAATTAAATCACATTTCTGCTACGTCGTGCGCTACGATCGATTTGCCGTTCCCCACTACCCACTTCGCACATAGCGAATAGTATATATTAGTGGTTTATTGGCTCTTAAAGACGCGCTCGGATCGCTAATGCTAATAGGTTCGCGGGAGCTAACAGGATAGAGGGATCTAGAAGGATATAAGGAGCTAATAGTACAGTGAGAGCTAAAAGGATAGTAAGAGCTAATAGGATAGTGGAATCTTATTAGTGATTAGCAATTTGTACCGAGAATAGTATCGCTGGGCGTGATGTAGTAAGAGCTAATATAAGGATTATAGGAGCTAATAGGATATAATGGATAGGAGCTAATGGGATAGTGGGAGCTGATAGGATAGTGAAAGCTAACAGGATAGTGGGATCTTATAAGTAAGTAGTAGTAAGACAATATTATACCGAGAACAGTATCGCTGGGCGTGATGTATGCGAAGTTGAGGTCAGCGACATGTTGCAGGGCGGCGCCGCGCAGTAGATGGCGGACTCGCTCCATCACGGACAGTACGTACACGTCCACCTGGTGCTTCGATATCTTCCATACGCCCAGACCTACACACATATACAATACACGTTGTTCATATATCAATGTATTACAATGTGAAAATTATAACTTAACAATTATTTTAGTCTAAAAAATTGTGATTGTAATTCTTCTTCATCCGAATGCTTTGGATATCAGAAATCCTTTCAGTTTTATTCCAGTTTATCGCTTTAATACGAATACGCGTATAGCTATGAATGGAGTTTTATTTAAATAAATGATGTAAAAATACAAGATATGGAGAGCCATGCTTCGGCACGAACGGAGTGATATCACGGCCTCATAGAAATCTGGCGTGAAACAACCAAAGCCTTGTATTAAGGGGACGGACAGGTTTAATACCCCCACCCATCCCTTCCTAATCCCTAAATACCCAAAAGTCTGATAACGGTACTCGTAACTCCTCTGGTTTTGGGTGTGTCTATAGACGCACTGCTTATGGACACCATCAGGTAATCCGTCTGCTTGTTAGCAGAATTATTCCTCTATAATCTATATGTTTTAGGGCGGCAAACGATCAGAAGAACGACCTGATGGTAAGCAATCAGAGCTGACCATGGGCACACACTACAACGGAGGAGTAACGAGTGGGTTGCCGACATTTTAGAGATGTTGGGAATGGGGGAGGAAGGGTAGGACCACCGGTAACCTCACTCACACGGCGAAACACAACACTGTGGTTGTTCCACGCCGGTTTTCTATAAGGCCGCGGTATCACTCCGATGGAGCCGTACTTAAACAAATAAAAAAATACTGACCACAACCAATAACATTGACGTAGGCCATTTTATTCTCCAATTGAGCGCGATGATCAGCTTCGATGAGTACAGTATCGGCGATGATAGAGAGCCGCTTGTAGTAGACTTCATTGTCGAATATATGGTGGGGCCGGGAGAGCTTCACGTACCGATCTGTGTACTTTTTCTGTGCGTCCTTTGTATTGCTAATGCTGATATAGCCCGTCAGTTCCTCGTAAGTGTAGCTATGTACCTGATTGCATTCAACAAACATAATGAAATTAGAACAAAAATAATTATTATTATTTGAAGCGGAATGTGATCGGTGGCGGCTCGCGCCCGGCCTTAGTCGAGGCCATGGTGCGAGAGGAACTGGCAACATATAATTTCGCGGGTATTAAAGCGAAAAATAATAATTAAAGTGACGTTTCGACCTGGTTGCACAAGTCGTGGTCGAAAGCAGACTATGACTGCGACTTGTGAGTTATTTAAATAATTATTTTTCGCGTTAATATCCGCGTTATATGTTGTAAGTAACATAAAAAAGTAAGTACGAGTTCTCTCATAATTACTTTTAAAGTTTCGAGTTTTAACTGAACGATAAACTAGGAGGCCATCTCTTTTTGTGTCAGTCATGCTCGCAAAGAAGGGGGCTATCATACTCCTGAAGTGAGTGAAGTGAAGTGAATTAAAGTGAAGTGAAGTGTAGTGTAGTACAGTGCAGTGTCGTGTACTGTAGTACAGTGCAGTGCAGTGCAATGCAGTGCAGTGCACTGTAGTGTAGTGTTGTGTAGTGTAGTGTTGTAGAGTAGGTAGAGCAAGGTAGTTAGAGTAGGGTAGGTAGCGTAGAGTAGTTAAAGTGAGGTAGGGTAGGTAGGTAACTAGGTAGGGTATTAAGTTAGGCATTAAGTCCACCTATGTACCCATTGTGCATGAAGTTTAAATAAAATAAAATACAAGTGCTTCGGCATATTTGGGTCAGCTCGACCGGAGTGATACCACGACCTCACAGAGAACCGGCGTGAAACAACTACAGCGGTGTGGTTCGCCGTGTAAGTAAGGTTACCGGAGGCCCAATCCTTCCCCTCCCACAAACTCAAAATCCTAATCCCTAAAAGTTCGGCAACGCACTCGTAACTCTTTCGTAGTTGCGTTTGTCCATGTGCGGAGCTGATTGCTTACCATCAGGTAATACGTCTGCTCGTTTGCCGAACAAGAAGTTGAGGGTTTTTGGTGAATCACCCTATAGTACCTGATAAAACTCAGCCCACATCTGTCGCCACATATGTCTGCCGGACGAGCTGTTCCTGACGTACGTGTTCTTTAATACGTTGAGGCACGTGGTGGGGGTCACCTCCTCCCCATATCCTTGCTCCGGGACATTCTGCTCCGCAGTGATAAGGATATCCTCGCAGTCCATGCGGTTTTCACGCTGGAAACGAGGCCCTATTGTTCCTGGAATCGTATTAGGAAGCTTGATTATATTCGCTTGTCATGTAGGGCTCAAAACAATATGTAGTAGAATCTATAGTATATGTTATACCTAAAGAGGAGTGGGAGAGCTAAGCTTTGGCAGGAAGGTCGGCTCGACCGGACCTCTTAAGCCACGGCATCACAGAAACGCGGCGTGAAACAACACAAATACACAGCGAGGCTCAGTCCTATCTCTCCCCAATCTCTAAATCTCCCAAATTCTAATCCCCAAAAGGCTGACAAGGCACTCGTAATTTGTCTGATGGTAATACCAGAGTGAAATTAGACATTAAGATGTCCATGGGCGGCGTCGATTGCTTACCATTAGAGATGGGAGAGCCACGCTTCGGCACAAATGGATCGGCTTGACCGGAGAGATGCCACGGCATTACAGAAAACCGGCGTGAAACAACCACAGCGTTGTGTTTCGCTGTGTGAGTGGTTTCCAGAGGCTCAAACCTTCCTTCCATCCTCAATACTAAAATCCCCTATCCTTAAATCCCTAATAACCCACAAGAGGCCGTCTACACACTTTTAGTAACTCCTTCGATAATTCAAGTGTCCATGGGCGGCGTCGATTTCTTACCATTAGATTATAATCAATCTGATCATTTATTTATTTCTTTGGTGAGTGTAAAATCATTAACACATTCAGTGCCCCCGACGCGTATGTGCGTTTCCTCGCACGCACATACGCGTCGGGGCACTGAATGTGTTAAAAGACTTCTCCCGCTCGACCTTGGGCGCGGGAGTGTCAGACTCTTACTGTCTTAAAAGTTTTAAGATAGTAAGAGTCAGATTGATTATAATTTGTTTTAAGTTAACACACCCCTTTCTTTTTCCTGGTTTGAGCCGAGGCCGCGGTGCATCATTGCGCTTACCCCGCAACCCCGGCTGAAATCGTTTGCCCTCTATTACTTACCTATAATAACAGCTTCAGTCTCGATGTTGTCCTCTCTTACAATGCCGGAGTTGCGTCGCTCCCCCGCGTTGATACACTCGGTGTGTCCACTTACATACACTAGTGCAGAAACCTTCATCTCGTCATAGCTCAGGCAGTTTTCCAACAGCAGGGGCGCTTTCTGATTCATTGTGCCCACACTCTCCCAGCCATCTGAACTGGAATACAATTAATTCATTTATCAATTGGACGAAAACCATGCTTCGGCACGAATGGTTCGGCTCGACCGGAGTGATACCACGGCCTCACAGAAAACCGGCGTGAAGCAACCACAGCGTTGTGTTTCGCCTTGTGAGTGAGGTTACCGGAGGCCCAATCCTTCCCCTCCCCTTCTCAATCCCTCCTCAATCCCTAAATCTCCTATCCTAAATCCCTTATCCCTAAAAGGTCGGCAACACACTCGTAACTCCTCCGTTGCGGGTGTCCATGGGCGGCGCTGATTGCTTACCATCACGTAATCCGTCTGCTCGTTTGCCGACCTATTTAATAAAAAAAAGAAGATATATGTATGTGGTGACCTGGAGATTGATTAAGGCGCCGCTTTTCATGCACTAAGGAGCAAATTCGAAATCTGGCAAGTATCAATGTGACTTTTTCCGAGATATATGCTATTTCTTTGAATATATAATATTAAATAAACTTGAGCGATTGCAAAATCTATGTATCCGCTTTGTATTCGGTCTTAAGAAGTATGATCATGTCTCCGAATTCCGCAATAGGCTCAAGTGGCTCCCTATCCGTCTTCGCAGGAACACTCGCATTTTATGTCTCCTCTACAATTCCCTCTACAATCCATCTTATCCCGCTTACCTCCGTGACCGTTTCTCCTTGGTGCGTCCTCCTGAAGTCCTAACTCGTTCTCATCTCAAGTCCAACCTTAAAATCGTGCCTCATAATACCGACTTCTTCTCCTATTCTTTCACCGTTTATGCTGTGAGACTGTGGAATTCTCTCCCGCCTAACATTCGTGACGCTAAATCGCTCGCTCTGTTCAAAAAACTAGTTAAAGACCATTACCTTTCTTCATGAGTACTTACAGTTACGTTTATTTATATGTGTATCTTATTTATTGTTATTATTATATATTAAGTATTTATATGATATATATATACATATATTACCTATTTGTTGTAGTTAGTTCTTTTTTTTTTCACTTTTGTTACACACTGTGTCTTAAATTTTAATTACATTTCCTGTCTCAGGTCTACTGGAAGAAATTCCAACAGGAATAAGTAGCACCTTTGTACTCTTATTTTTTTATGTATTTTCCTCTGTGTTGTTTGTGTGTACTTAAATTATTAAATAAATAAATAAATATAGACAACACTGATATACGGTGAAGGACAACATCGAGCGGCAACCTGAACTGTTAAACAATTTCTTAATTAAAAGTTTGAAATCGCCAATCCGCCTTAAGCAAGCGTGGTGATTAATGCTCAAAACTTATCCACGTGAGAAGAGGTCTTTGCTCAGCAGTGGGCACTTATAGGCTGATGATGATGATGATGATGATGATGATGATGATGATGATGATGATGATGATGATGATGATGATGATGATGATGATGATGATGATGATGATGATGATGAAGATGATGATGGTGAAACGAAAGTTACTTGTGAAAGGAACTGTATCTACTGCTTTATGTTTAAGATGGTATTGTGTGGTTATGTACTGTGGATCCAGTTACCCTTTCTCCCCGGACAGGAGTAGGTAGGAGTCTGCCGCTCCCATGAAGGTGACGGCTCTCTTCTTGAGTAGCCTGTCGATAAACTGTGACACGCCCATATCCTTGTATAACTCCTTTTCTATACTACTGCCGTATTCTCTGAAAATATGTAAAATGAATAACATAATACATGTGAAATTTATTGATAAAGAGTAACTAGGGAGTCTATTGCTCGTTCTTATCCATTGGAATCTAGAACTTGGAACGTGCAAATAGCTTCACTAGAGGACAGACTGACACATAACTAGTAAACTTTTGATATTATTATTTTTTTGCCGTTCTAAAGTGCCTATATTTATCTATTTGAAATAAATTATTAATTACTTTGACTTTATACCGTATATACATAACCAAATCAAAGTACATAATTATAGATCAAATACTGAATTGTTTGTCTGTATAGTCGGTTTTTCCCGCCCAGGCGAGAGGGAGTATCAGCCTCTTACTGTCTAAACCCCCGTTCCTTCTCCTGCCAGGCCTGCCTCCTGCTGATGCCAGGATAAAAGGGACACTTAAGGTCGGTTACTTCTTTATTTTACTTCTAGAGGTCAAAGTTAGACTTGCATTGACCACTTATAAGTACTATAGACTTGACTAAGCTCACCTTTTGTATATGAGGAAATGTGTAATCAGAAGCAAAACTCGTTCATGTATCAGTGGATATGTAGACACTATATTTTTCTTCAGTTTCTCTATGGACCTCCGAACTTTCAGCTTTTCTAACCTGTAAGTAACGTCAAAATTATCAACGCTGATACATTTAGTGGGTATTGATCGTAAAAATTAGTTTATCTATATTATTATTATACTAGCTAGTCAGTATTACGAGATTGAGGGTTCCAAACCTGGCAAGTACCAATGTGAGTTTTTCCGAGTTATGTGTACTTTCTATGATTGTTTAGACAACACTAACATACGGTGAAGGAAAATATCGTGGGGAAACCTTATAATATCTAATTATAATATCTAATTATAACTTTCGTGAGACATTCTAAATTATTTATTATGTTTTCGGCTTATTCACGTAATAATTTAACGAGATACTCGACTAGTTTCAAGCCATGCTAGAGGCCCATATTCATGAGCAGCATTCCGCGACACGCGACTCGGCGACTGTCGCGCTGCTACTGGCATGCTTGAATCTAGTCGAGTATCTCGTCAAATTATTACGTGAGTAAGCCGAAAACATAATAAATTATCTAGTTATATGTTTGTAATCACCAATCCGCCTTCATCCGCAAACATGGTGATTTATGCTCATAATATCTTCAATGTGTTTTTTTTTTTTTTTTGTGAGGGGAAAATCATCAAATGACTTCTCCCGCCCAGGGCCGGGCAGGAGGGAGTGTCAGACTCTTACTGACTAAAAACCCCCCTGTTCCTTCTCCTGCTCTGTGCCGAGGTCGCGGTACCTCATTGCGCTTACCCCGCAACCCCGGCTGAACATCAGCCCTTTAGGGCCCCGTCTGTGGTGGTCTAATGGCTCTTTGAGGCGCGCGCGGAACGCTACGCGCCGTACGCTCGGGCCTGGTTCTGGTCGGGCGGCGAGCTGCCCTTACTCGCCGACCGCAGGCCCGTACTTACGGTGGCCGGAGATCGTCCCTCGATCCCCGACGCCCGTAGTGTCGCCAGTTGCGGCTGCTGGGGCGTGAGGAGGAGGATTGCTCCCTCACGCGGGCCGCCTCTCTCTTTGCGAGCATGACTGCTTCACAAAAGGAGGAGACGGCGTCCCAGTTCCTCTCACTCCGCACCATGGCCTCGACTAAGGCCGGGCGCGAGATCTTCTGTGTGTGAGAAGAGGTTTCGCTCAGCAGTGGGCACTTATAGGCTGATGATATGTGATGTGAATGCAGCATTTACCTGACTGTCTGAATGGGGAACGGTATGGGGAAGGCTTTGCTCTTCTTGATGATTTCTTCGACATCATTGGTCTCCTTAGTCATGCTGGTGTCGCACTGGTCTGGCCTGCACCTAGATGTTCAACCAGGTCATATATAAATCAGAGTTAGATCTTCACTACTAAACTGCTAAACCGAGTTGTTTTTTTAAATTATTAGGTACGCCAGCAGCAAAAAAAGAAGACCTTTTCTTTTATCCGAGGCCCAAAATAGGAGCTTGGAGCTTTTTCTTTAATTTTAATAAGCAGTTTTTTAATATACTACTAAGGTCCAAATAGTTTTGGCCTGAGCTAAATTTTGTCCTGTGCCGTGGGTGTGTTTACAATTACACATACACACAACGCCCAGAACCGGAACAACAATTTGTGAATCACACTAAGTATTGTTCCGTGTGGGAATCGAACCCGCTGCAAGATGCACAGCAGCCAGTTGCCCAACCACTGCGCCAACCGTGCAGTCATACATAATATAGTTTTCAATAGGTACATAATATAGTCTTCATTTATTTTAAGGCACTTTTCATAACGCTTTCCTACCATTTCTATACCTTTAAAGAAGTACTCTGATTTTTCTCCTCAAAATGTGATAAATCAGCAAATTTCACCTCTTCATCAACATCATTTAACTTCATTTTCCCGATTTCTTCTTAATAACTTGGGGCGAAATCTGCTACAATCAGAAACCCCAAATCTCGTACCCCTATAAGGCTGGCAACACTCTTTGAACTCTTCTGGTGTTGTTAAAAAACTCGCACATAAAAGGTTCCGTAGAAGCAAGCATAGAATCAAGGACAGTACTAACTTACTTATTCCCAAACCCACAAAAATTTCAACATTTTGCCAGCAAAAGTAATTTTTTGCCAGTAAAATGACACTAGAACAGACAGATTTGTCAAATCTTATAGATTCGTCATTTCTGCCTATCCTTCCAAGTGGTCAATGTGGGTACCATTTTTGCCATTTTGCTACGGAACAGAGTAGCCCTAAAAAATAGGTAACACTGCAGCATTTACCCGGGGGTGTCAATGGGGAGGTCTTTGTTGATTCCTTCGACATCATTCGCCGCGCATTGCCGAAGCAACTCATTGCTCTCCTTACTCATACTAGGGTAGCACCAGTCTGGCTTGCACCTGTACATTTAAAAAAGTCACATTTAAACCTGCTGAACTGAATTCGACGATTAGATAGATATTAAATAAACTGCTTGACTGATTTCGACGATTTTTTTTTATAACAAGATAAGACAGAGATAGAGAGATAAGACTCAGAGAAATATGAAGTTTAATCAAGTAGGTCGTTCCAGTTCGTCCACACCCTATAGATATGCTTTTATCAATTTTGACGGTGCTTCTAGTAAGTAGTAGTCTAGTAATTAACAGGTAGTGTACCTATATAATATTTTAAAAGTATGCTTACTATAGTCAAAGTTAAAATTGTTTATTCCAATTACACCCTTACATTTTAAGTATGGGAGAGCCATGCTTCGGCACGAATGAGTCGGCTCGACCGGAGTGATACCACAGCGTTGTGTTTCGCCGTGTGAGTGAGGTTACCGGAGGCCCAATCCTTCCCCACCCCCAATCCCTCCTCAATCCCTAAATCTCCAAATCCCTAATCCCTAAAAGGTCGGCAACGCACTCGTAACTCATATGTTGCGGGTGTCCATGGGCGGCGCTGATTACTTACCATCAGGTAATCCGTCTGCTCGTTTGCCGACCTATTACATATAAAAAAAATTTACTTTTGAACATCTAACAAAACTTTAAAGACGTAAAGTGTCAGTCGGTCGGTCTGTACTTTTAGTGAAGCTACTTGCTCGTTCCAAAGTGCCATTTTTTTATGTGCGGCAAACGAGCAAACGGATTACCTGATGGTAAGCAATCAGCACCACCCGCAACAACGGAGGAGTTACTATGCGTTGCCGACCTTTTGTGGATTTGGAGGTTTTTGGATTGGAAGGGGTGATTGGGGAGGGGAAGGATCAAGCCCCCGGTAACTTCACTCACATGGCGAAACACAGCGTTGTGGTTGTTTCGCGCCGATTTTCTGTGTGGCCGAGGTATCATTTTGGTCGAGCCTTAATTTATATAAATGAGAGGTATTCATTATTCACACACTTCAGTGCGGTAATCAATTATCAAAAATAAATAAAGAACTAAAATATTTTCCTCAACCACTAGGAAATAAACTCTTTTTCTTTGATTCGTACAGGTTTGTTTATGGTATAACTTCATTCCATTGAGGTAATGAGGAAAAGTTGATACTTCTTTATAAAGCCGTCAGAGGGATTTCCGATTCTGCAATAATTGTTAAATAACTTTAACTGTTATTTGTATATACAAAGCAGATCTTGTTATAACTAGTTAACAAAAATAATGTGCTGTGGGAAAATATTTAGCAATAAGACAATAGGAGGCATGACTTCAGGTATACTGGGGCAGTAGTAACTAGTTTTTAACCGACTTCAAAAAAGGAGGAGGATCTCAATTCGATTGTTTTTTTTTTTTTTTGTTTTTGTGCCAATTTTGGTGCAACAATTCCTACATGGATCCAAATGAAAGTGTTTTGTTTCAGGAACAAATAAGGATGCCACTGATCCAAAATATTTATTTGATAGTAAAAAATACATACCTAAACTTCATCACATCTTATATATGTATAATAAAAAGTTGTGTTTGTTTCACTAATTTTAATTCGAAAATGGCTGAACCGATTTTACTGAAAACTGGTAAGGAGGTAGCTAAGAACTGGGAGAAGGATTTAGGAAAGAGTAGTAGGGTGAGGGTAGAGTTGGTAGGTTAGGGTAGGATTGGTAGGGTACAGTGGGTGTAGTAGAGTAGGGTAGGTAGTGTAGGTGAAATTGATCTTAATTATATAAAAGATATTTCTAGTGAAAAAAAATTATTAGACAAATATAAAAATAAATAAATAATAATAGTCAAATATTATACATTCCATACTTATACAAATCTTTATTTTAATTTTTATAGCTTATTTTATGGTACTACCTATGCTTATTTATAAAATATTGAAAAAAAAAATTACTTACCAGGCATAGCTGTGGAAACTCCTTGTTATGTCCATCTTTTGACGTTTTGCCTGTAACATAGGAAAATTCTCAACATTTCGACTTATGTAAAAAAAAATGTTGCTCTTTCTTTATCATTTAATTACAGTATTTATTTCAAAGTCTCATGTAAGTACTTGACATAAATATTATCTTTATGCAATTATAACGTTTATTGACTTCATAACTTACCAACATTTTTTATCAATTAAATAATGAAGATATTTAAGAAAATAGGTAAAAGTTTACTGGCTCTCAATGTAAAAACTGTAATAAACTAATAATAAAGCAGAATAACTTTGCACAGTTATTAAATTTTCAATTATGTTAGTCTTTGGACGAAAGATTTTAATTAAATAAATATAAATCAGGTTACTAAAAGCAGTGCAGTACTACTTTGTTATTAGCAAGCAAACCTACACTGATTATATAGGTACTCACATGGGCTAGACAGGATCAATTGGTAGAAACATGTACGAACAAGTTCACACTACTTACGTACGGACTTTATAAACACCTTTATTATACTTATAGCTGGACTTACTAACATTTGTTAAAATGCGGTGAATCATCAAAGCCGACCGACTGAGACATTTCATTTCACTAACATTTGTTTTGACATTTAATACTTATCTTTGGTTTTGACATGTACACACAAACACAAAATATTATGTATGTATATTTTGATAAACACAAACACACACACGTATTATATATGTTAAAAATGTCAATACAGGGAGACAGAGGCAGTTTTAAAAGATAAAGGTAAAATTAAATAAAATGCTTCCCGCTTTCTTGGTTTCTTGTTTATGTAACGAAAATTTTTGTTTGTACTAAAAAATATACCAACGGCAAAGCATCTTGAAATTTATTTTTTCTTAAAATAATATTATTTTATCCTCATATAATATGTTATGTCTCTCCCTTTTAAAATGTTAGCTAAAGTGTAACTGAATCTACATACTTTTTTTTCAATATAAAGTTATCACTGTTTTCCATCACCAAAAAAGTTAAAACATTTCTAAAGCAATAATAATAATATAACGTCGTAAAAATAAGCATTTACAAAGTTTGCTTCATCTCAAACAACAGTTTTAATTTTTATTGTCGGTCGTCAAAACAATAATTCAGCTCATTTTTATTTAAATCGAAATAAAGTGACGAACATTTTTAATTTGATAACGTTTTTAAAATATCCAATAACTAAATAGGTAAATCAAAATGTTCTAATTATTTTTTTAAGTAGGTACAATGTTTTGTTTATCTGGATTGTCACTGTCTTTATAATGTGTAATTTGGCTTAAAGGACTCGTATCCAGGCCATAAACTCAAAAAAATAATAATATAATGTGTAATGTTGACGTTGACATTTGACATTAAGAAATTGGCGCGATTTATTTTATTTTGATATTATATCTCATATCGTTAGAAAATCTAAGCTGAAAATAAATATTTATTGTTATTTTGTTAGAAATAAATAACTGATATGGGCGAGGTGCAACAACTACGAGCAGAAATTACTTCAACGTTTAAACTAAATGGTTTTATTTTACGAAGAGAGGCGGGAACATTTTTGGCTGAGGAGCTCCTTCTTTTACCACCACAAGAACGTAATTCCATCCTCGAGAAGTTGTCAGCTCATTTACTTCATCAGTGTATATCGCAGCCAATTTTAGAGAAGGAACAGATAGAAATAGCCTTTAAAGAGTGTTCGACAGCTGGATTAGAGGAAAACGAAACTGTTCTAAATGTAATAGACGCATTCACAGTCCCGAAGCTATGCTACGACTATGAACTCAAGAAATTCGTGAAAGATGTTACGAACGTGAAATGTTTACTACCTGATCCTAAGTGGAAGTCTCGCTTCATGATAGACAGGTACACAGTGATATGGCAGAGAACACTAAGGAACAAACTGTTCACTTTAGACAAAGTGCATTCTTCTGAAATTGAGAAACGGTTTCAGTTACGTAGAATTGAGTATTTACTAAGTTGTTCTAGTAGAGTCAATGATGTAGTTGTTCTGGGCCTGCTTACACAGGTTATTGAGAGGCAGTACCATTTAGAAGACCCTACAGGCTCAGTGCTACTGGATATATCCAATGTGAGGTACCACTCCGGCCTGTTTACAGAAGGCAGTTATGTTTTAGCTGAAGGTTACTTTGAAGACAAGATACTATATGTCACTGGTCTTGTCCAGCCCCCAGTAGAGACCAGAGAAGAGTCTGCCCCATATTTTGGTAATCTTAATACCTTTGGAGGGAAGTCACGGACTTCTCTAAAGAATTCCAAAGCTCTTTTAAAAATTGAGAATGAAAATAGAGATGGAGTGATTGTGTTTGTATCTGATGTATGGTTGGACAGTCCCAAAGTGATGGACAGACTAAAGAAACTTTTTGCCGGCTTTGATGACTATCCCCCTATAGCTATTGTACTCATTGGTGAATTTTTATCATGTCCATACACTTATAAGTTCCACATGCACCTGAAAAATGGATTAAATACATTAGCAGACACAATATGCCAATTTAAAAATTTGCGTGAGTACTGCAAGTTTGTGTTCGTGCCAGGGAAGTCTGATCCTGCTGCAGCAAATGCATTGCCGAGACCACCACTGCCAAAGTATCTAACTGATACAATACAAAGGAAACTTGGTGACAGTGCCATATTTACCACAAACCCATGTCGGATACAATATTGTACGCAAGAAATTGTTGTATTTAGACAGGATTTGGTGATGAAGTTATGTAGGAATACATTACACTTTCCTGATAGTGGGGACATTCCAGATCATTTGACAAAAACTTTACTCAGTCAGTGTTGTTTAACACCAATGTCCTTGGGTGTGCAACCAGTATTCTGGAGACATGCCAGTGGGTTAAACCTATATCCCTTACCGGACTTAGTGGTAGTAGCTGATCATTTCCAACCCTTTGTAAGGAGTTACAAGGAGTGTCAAGTTATCAACCCTGGTTCATTCCCTCGTACAGAGTTTACTTTTAATGTCTATGTTCCTGCTTCTAGAACAGTTGAAGAGTCACAGATACCTAATGATGATGATGATGTATCATGATTTTGATTTCTTTTAGATATTTTTTATTAAATGCTAATTAAGTATCAATGAAAACATAACATATTTAATACAAAGGTTTGAAATAAGTGGGATGATAATTATTTTAAATTAGCTATCAATACTCTCTGTTTATGTTACTCCTACTATTATTAATATGTATTTGAATAATGTGATTAAAGCTGTCCAACAATGTATGTATGTAAAATCTAATCATTGCTAAATTATCAAAACAGGGTTCAACATTCTGGAATAAATAGTTTATTTTTTAATCTCATTTTGATTTTGTCCATCGTACCTTAGTCCTTGATCAATCACTATTTATAAAACATTAGTTTACAAGTTACAACGAATATGTAGAACTAGTTTCCGCCCGCGGCTTCGCCCGCATGTTATGTTGATAAAAAGTAGCGTATGTCCTTTTCATCCAGATCCGTCCAGACCTTTTGGCGTGATTGAGTAACAAACATCGTAACTTTCGCATTTATAATATTAGTAACATGAATATTATACAGTGCGGCCGACGTATCTTGGCGAGTCTGAAGTTAGCCGTTTGTCTGCGCAATGGATCTTTTAGGAACAAAGTTGTGTACTGCGCAGCTAATCGGCTAACTTCAGACTCGCCAAGATACATCGGCCGCACTGTAGGTACTTGTATATTATTTAAAAAGAGTATCATAAAAGTTAATACTTTGGTACTATAAAGGAGTTCATAAAATACAAGCTAAGTAGCTACTCCCGCGCGGTTTCACTCGCTACTCGGCTCCTTTGGATTGTAGCGTGATGTTTTATAGCCTATAGCAATCGGGAACATTGTAGCTATAAACAAGTGAAAGAATTTTGGATATCCGACCAGTGGTTCCAAAGATTACCCCCTACATACAAATTTTACCTATTTATAATAGTACAGAAAATAATGCTTTGAAGATAGTCAGGCTTGGGAATGAGCTGCTGTCATGTCTGCGTAGGTCATGTTGACATCTTTCTAACATTAAGTTTTTTTTTTGAACAATTTGACATTACTCTTATAATAATTAAAATTTTTTGCTTACACCGCCGTGATATTCGATGGTGTATGCTGTTTGCCGATGATATTGTGCTGGTTGCCGAGAGTGCCCTAGAGGTCCAGAGCAGATTGGAGGTGTGGTGGCAAAGACTGGAGAGTGTTGGCCTAAAATTGAGCAGAACTAAAACAGAGTACTTGTTCTGCGATTTTGGCGGTCTCTCTAGTTCTGTGCCCATAGCTCTCGCCGGAACGCCCATACCAACCTGTTCTGATTTTAGGTACCTTGGCTCGCTTATCCAAGGAAATGGTGAGATAGACCGAGACGTGGCACATCGGATCAACTCAGGATGGATGAAATGGCGACAGGTCACTGAACAACTTGCGACCCACGGATGCCCCTCAGGTTGAAGGGTAAAATCTACAAGTAGATAAGGCCTGTCCTACTGCATGGGTCAGAATGTTGGGCTCTGAAAAAGACGGATGAAAAGCGATTGCATGTAGCAGAGATGAGAATGCTGAGATGGATGTGTGGTGTGACGAGAATGGATAAAGTGAGAAATGAGTATATTAGAGGAAGTTTGAAAGTGGCGCCAGTGACTGAAAAGTTGAAAGGGACCCGTTTGTCTTGGTATGGCCATGTGAAAAGGAGGGATGAAAAGCATGTAACAAAAAAAGTCATGAGTATAAATGTGGATGGATGGAGAGGGAGGGGGAGACCAAAGAAAATATGGATGGATTGTGTGAGAAATGATATGGAAGACAGAGGAGTTAGCGATAGCGTGACGAGTGACAGGACAGAATGGAAGAAAAAAACATATTGCGCCGACCCCAAATAAAACGGGACAAGGGCAGGAAGATGATGATGATGATGATGACTGCCGTGATATTCGATTGCTACTTATTTACTTTCTGTTAGTTTTAGTATTTGCACGACTTTGCCAAATTTTCTTTTGACCGGTATTGTCCGTCGAAAAACTCAACAACATCCGTTAGTTGGACTGGTTATAAACTGACACTTGTCAGCCTTCATCGGATCCACTTAAACTGATGTGCTTCTTTCCTCAAAATACAACTACTGAATAAACTTGCACGGTTCTCAAAGAGCCAATAGACCACCACAGACGCATATAGCCTAAGTAGGTACACTCTCTCTACTTAACCTAGGGCATGAGAAGTTATTTGATGTGCAAGTAGGTACGCACCACGCGCGGCTTGTATGTGTGCGCCATAGTATCTACAGTACGGCCGACGTATCTTGGCGAGTCTGAAGTTAGCCGTTTGTCTGCGCAATGGATCTTTTAGGAACAAAATTGTGTACTGCGCAGCTACTCGGCTAACTTCAGACTCGCCAAGATACAACGGCCGTATAGTACCTACTTTTGTTTGTGTTTAACGCGAGCGATGTGCATTCATGATGCGGCGATTCAGACACAGTTCTAACAGTGTACTAGCTATTCTGGCAGACAAAATTAATGGTCCGTTTATTAGACACTGGGCAAGATGACATTTACGTCCAGATTTCCATGTCAATAATTGATAAATAATATTAATAACGAACGTTTTCTACTAACATTAGGATAAGAAACTTATCCTCTTAACTATTTAACACTTTTATATAGATCTCTGATCTGAAATAAGAATTTAATTTAATCCCAAACCAGCTTTCGCCCTTGGCTTCGCACGCGTATAAAGGTAATGTAGGTATCCTGTACCGTAGGGTAGCCTATAGCACTCAGGAACATTGCAGCTATCGAGCAGTGAAAGAATTCTCTGGAAATCCGACTAGCGTTTTCAAAGATTAGCCCCTATAAACAAACTTACAAATTTTACCCCTTTAGATATAATATTAGTACTATCTATAGATGAAAAATAAGGCTGGCAACACACTAATTAACTCCAACTGGGATGATGTTCAGCTAGGGTTATGGCAATCGCTATAGTGTTGCGGTCTCGACATTTCAGTATGAGTGTTTCGCTGTGTTAAGGAGTTACTGGAGGCCCAATCCTCCTCCACTCTCAAAATCTTCAAATTCAAAAGCAAAATGTCGGTAACGGGCTAGTAACTCCTCCGTTTTCACGGGTGTCTATGGGCGGCGCTGATTGCTTTCCGTCAGGTAATACGATTGGTCGTTTGCCGACCTATCTATCACATAAAAAAAGATGAAAAGGTAAAATGAAACTGAATGTACCTTATTATTAAAGATTTAATTCTCCGACTATATTTACATTAGGTATCTTATATCGATTAATTTAATTAATTAAATATTACACACACAAGTTTTATATAACTAAGTACAATTATCCTTATCTTAGGAGTGGACGGAGTAAATATATCTGATGTAGGTACTAAAACTAGGTATGTAACTAATTATAGATTCCACATTTTGGTAAATAAGTCACCAGTATAAAATTATTTCACAAAAACATTTTTAAAATGGTGTAATAAAAAATGATCATTGATTTTAAAACTGTTGGACCCTTGAACTATTAATATAGATACGGCTACCTGTAGTTGATAGAATAAAAATAAAGTTTTAAACTAAAAAGCCAACAGGTTCCTCAAGTTGAGAACAAAATTATTCACTAAAAGGTTCCTTACAATTTTATTACAGATTATTCGTATGACCATTTAATTATATTTTGTTATGGGTATTGCTGATTCTCAGTTTCATGATCAGGTCAACTCCAGACCTTTATAAAAATATACTATTTAACCGAACAAACAATAGCATCAAACCTGAAGGTCCTTTGGATTTTTCATCATCAAATCCTGTTTGGTGAAAACAAAATTAGTAAAGCTTTAATATAAAAAAAAAATATAAGAACTAAACAATCATATAAACAGTCGATTACAGAAACTTGAAATATTCCAAAACAGTTAATGGAATCACAGTACTTATTACAATGACTTATTTATTTCTATGTAACCTAAGCGTCCAAAATCAGTTTTGAGTCATTGATTTTCCAATCTTAAAGGTGCTAACATGTTATACCTACACAGAATAGCAATTTAGGGTCATAAAATAAAAAAAATATTCCTCAATTATTATTCCTATCCAATGTTAACAGCATTAATTCTCATTACTTGAAACTCACTTAGAATAATTTCTTTGAAAATGTTACAATACATCCATCCTTTAAAACAAATATTTATAAACAATATCGTTTGGTTGTTATTCTATTTATATTCAAGCACCCATGATTGTGTCGTAAACTTCTGTGATGGGAGCGAGGGCCACTAGGCAGACCATAGCGATCGCAAATATCAGCACTATGGGTGTGTAGATACCAAGCAACAGCCGTCTGAAGCTTGAGAACTGGAAAAGAAAACGTCCATATTAGAAAAGTTGCATTTCCTGTAAGCCAGTATTAGATACAACCATAAAAACACCGAAACACTGAAGTCCGGCGCGTCCCAGGGACACGGATGACTGTCTTGGATCCCGCAACGAAATAATTCAGAAGATATTATTTGAGGAGAAGAAAAAACGAAATTAGAAAGAGTAGGTTGAGCTACACGTTGCTAGTTGTTTGTTTTCGGCAAACGAGCAGGAGGATTACCTGATGTGGTTTATTACGGATTGAGGAATACGGAGGGGGGGGGGGGAATTGGGACACCGGTAACCTAAGCTGAGACCAGGCAGCAGCGCTCTTGGATTAATCTAAGAGTCTCAAGTCACAGTCAAGTCTCAGACATCCGCTGACCCGTCAAGAGTGTGGTGTGTAAAATATTTTCTGCTTTTTTTTTGTTAAGTGAAAATCATCAAATTACTTCTCCCACCCAGGGCCGGGCGGGAGGGAGTGTCAGACTCTTACTGACTAAAAAACCCTCCTGTTCCTTCTCCTGCTCTAGGCCGAGGCCGCGGTGCCTCATTGCGCTTACCCCACAACCCGGACGGGTTTGTTACCAAATCTATTCTATTCTGCGGTCACCACTCATTCTAAAAAAGTCTCCAGTTTGTTTGTCTGTATGGAACTGTAGAAGTTACTTACCGGTGCGTCAGTACTGCGGTCGACTTGCGTGGCCTGCCGTGTCTGTCCGAGCATGTCCTTCATTGGGAACGCGTTGATACGGCCGTTGCTTATCCGCCCGTCCGATACACACACCGTCAACTGTGAAAAAAACAGAAATTAAGACAATAACAATAGCACCTACAATACAGATTTTTATGACCTAGACATATTTATTACTAGTTTACAAGTATATATATCTAAAATTAAAAAAACATATACCTATTGTCAACAGCAATAAAAGTCACTCTGTAAACCCATATTTGTTAGGATTCTTTTTGTTTATTTTTCTTGTACTCGCAATGCATGTTGTGTATTCATATGTTTATGTTACTATTTGATATTCTACATATTTGAAATTGGTGCCTGCATTCTATTACAATATTACGTTATGGAACTCAAAGTCTGTATGTGTTAATTATATTGTAATCGTTTGTTTAAAAGAGACTGTTTGTTTCCTAGATAATAAATAAATAACAATAATACCCTCTACAAGTTCATTATAAATCTGAAACTTTATGAGTTATTTTGGATAAACCTTTCAAACCTTATTATTGAATGGAATAATATGCCATATAATGATTACAGTCCAGAATAACACGTAGATCATTTGTTATCTTACGGGGAAATATTTTTTTATAAGTTTTCTCTACACTACGTGTTTTTCGTGGGTCGTGAGTGCGTTTAAAAACATACAATTTCACATACACCCAAACCCGGAACAACAATTTGTGGATCACAAAAAGAGTTGTTCAGTGCGGGAATCGACAGCCGGTTGCGAAGACGACGTGCCAAATCTGCTAGAAGATTTAACGTAAGGTTTTGGTAGAAATGAAGTTTTACTGGGCAGGTTACTGAAACTTACAGTGAGAACAAGATGCATGATGACATGGAACGCAACGAAAGCAGCAAGGATGTACACACTCCACGGGGGCAGCTCCGCTTTCTGCAGATACACCGCGAAGAAGATCGTCACAACTGAAAAAAAAAAACAAACCATATTAGGTACATATCAACACATCAATCGGCCTTTTTTTATCAGGGTAAAATTATCAAATGACTTCTCCCACCCAGGGTGAGGCGAGAGGGAAAGTCAGATTCTTACTGAATAAAACTCCCTCGTTCCTTCTTCGCCTTTAGACCAAGGCCGCCGTGCCTCATTGCGCTTTCCCCGCAACCCCGGCTGAACATCAGCCCTATAGTCGTCTGTGGTGGTCATTGGCTCTCTGAGGCGGGCACGGAACGCTACGCGCTGTAGTACGCTCAGGTCTGGCTATGGTCGGGCGGCGAGCTACTATCTCTCGAAATCAATCGACCTAAGATAGTCCACTGCGACAGTATGAGCTTCCTCTACATTGAGAATTACGATATTCACGATCGACAAGTTGGTCTTAATTCGTTAAAAAATTGCACCTCTGCTTAAAATTGTGTGAGGGAGCCATGCTTTGGCACGAATGTGTCGGCTCGACCAGAGTGGTATCACGGCTTCATAGAAATCTGACGTAGAACAACCACAACGTTGTGTTTCGCCGTGTGAATGAGGTTACCATAGGCCCAATCCTTCCTCTCCCCCAATCCAAAATCCCCAAATCCCCAAACGGTCAGCAACGCACTTTGTAACTCCTCCGTTGTCGTGAGTGTCCAAGGCGGTAATTTCTTACCATCAGGTGTTCCGTATGCTAGACCGTCGTCTTATCACAAAAAAAATTGGATTTAAAACAGCCAATATAATAATTATTCTTATTCTATACTAACTTTTAAACTTTTTTCGCGTAATTATATATTGTTATTCTAGTTTTCTACTCACTTCCTAGAATATGTGCGGAGTTCCCGAGTAGCCAGTGGGTCCAGTTGAATATTGGCCTCGACTTAGTGCCCGGGTGCGGCCTGAAGAATGCACCTGAAACACAACAATGAAGGAATCAATAGAGAAAAGTGGTTAACAATTGAAGAAATGGCGCTATAATTGATTTTAATTTTTTTAAACGTTGCTCCACGCTGTTATTTTCACCTGTGTCGTCGGTGCGTTGACAAACATACAATTTGACATACACATCAATCCTGATCCGGAACAATATCTAGAGAGATCTACTCGCTCGGTTTCACTCGCTGCTCTGCACCATTTAATCGTAGCGTGATGTTTTATAGCCTATAGCACTCAGGAATATTGTAGCTATCTATCAGTGAAAGAATTTTGGAAATGCGACCAGCGATTCCAAAGATTACCCCCTACATATAAACTTACAAATTTTACCTCTTTATAATATTAGTATAGATAGGAGCCATAAGTATTCTAGTACTCACCAATAGGCTGTATGAAGCACAGTATAACAGTAACGATGCCGGTGATGGCGTGAGGGTTGTCTCCGGTGGTGGACCAGCCTCCCACCTCGATCAAGATCAGTATGAACCCGACCACAGTCAGCAGCCACGTCAGCACCATGAATATGCGATGGTACTACAAATAGAATTTAAAATCATCAGAAGAAATATACTAAGTTTTTATTGTCGCTACAAGCAGTGTTTTTTTTGTCAGGGGAAAATCATATAATGACTTCTCCCGCCCAAGGTGAGGCCAGAGGGATTGACTCTTACTGACTAAAAACACACCGGTCCTTATTGCCGACGTCTTGGAGATTAGGGATTTGGAGATTTTGGGATTGGGGAGGAGAAGGATTCGGCCTCCGATAACCTCACTAACACGGCGAAACACAAAGCTGTGGTTGTTTCACGGCGGTTTTCTGTGAGGCCGTGGTATCGCTCCGGTCGAGTCGACCCATTCGTGCCGATGCATGGCTCCCCCACACGTAGTTTATAAAAAACTTGATACACGTACAGCGAACCAGATGTCCTTGCCGCCCAATTGTTTGCCGACCCAAGTCTGCCTGAAGTAGCGAGCCAGCAGAATGCCAAGTGAAGCTGTTCCCAGCCAAGCTAACAGCATGAAGCTGCCGTGGAGCTTGAGGAGTAGCTTGGAGCTGGCCGCCGCTGTACCAACTGTCGCCAGCGACATTGGTTCACCAGTCGCTTCGTACGCCAAGTCGTGGAAACCTACACGATTCGCATCTAGAACAAGAGGACAAAATATATAAAAGAAAAAAAAAGAAATTAAAAAAAAACATAAAGATATTTCTGTAGTGGATATAGAAGTAGTTTTCATATTTATGATTGTTGATAGGTTTAATTACACTGTAAATGTGGATGGATGGAGAGGGAGAGGGAGACCAAAGAAAATATGGATGGATTGTGGGAGAAATTATATGGAAGACAGAGGAGTTAGTAATAACGTGACGGGTGACAGGACAGAATGGAAGAAAAAAACATATTGCGCCGACCCCAAATAAAACGGGACAAGGGCGGGAAGATGATGATTGGTTTAATTACACTGCTTCATTTTTGGTCGGATTTTTTGTAATCATGTGTAGATATGTGATTGCCATGGTCTTTTTGCGGCAGGAGGGAGTGTCATACTTCTACATACTAAAATCCCTCCGTTTCTTCTCCTGCTCTAGGCCGAGGTCGCGGTGCCTTATTGCGCTTACCCCGCAACCTCGTTAGAGCTTGGATAAATGATCTGTGAAGGCTAAATGAGATTTTACTCAAAAAAGAAATGCCAATCCACATAATACGGATACCTCATGTTTTGGCCACAAGAACCCTACTGCTAAATATAGATACAGTTCCAAAACCAAGTGTCTATGGCCTATGGCTGACTGATAGAGAATATCTTAAGGCATTCAGTACGCCAATCAGACTGTTTTGTGTAAAGCAGATATAAATCCAAACTATCCAAACTAGTATTATTAATGCGAAAGTAACTCTAGTCTGTCTGTCTGTCTTTTCTTCACGCCTAAACAACTCAACCGATTTGTGTGAAATTTGGTACAGACATAGTTTGGAACTCGAGAAAGGACATAGGATACTTAACTTAACAAATATCCCATGACATCAGGAACTATGTGGGTTAAACCAAAAATATGCAGGGCGTCACGTCGTATACCACGCGAACGAACTTTGCGGGCAAGAGCGAGTAAATAAATAAAAACGTACTTTTAACAACAATTCTTAACAAACTGATATCAATATCATCTTACCTTTCATTTCACTCCCAGCAACCACCATCAAGTTGTACATAGAGCTGGCGAGATCAAACGTCTTCCCTTGTACCACGGACACTGCATCTCTTCTGAACTTACAGTACAACTTGCCATCGATTACAGACGACTCTAGAAGCTGCACGATCTCTTGAGGCGAGTCCGACCGACTTACATATGGATCAACTTTAGGATAAGTCCAGGAGGTAAAGAGATTTACTCTGCCATTATCATTCCTCACACATTCCATTGAACTATCATCTCCCATTTTGTTATCGTAACTTAGACCAGCTGCTACGTATTTAGGGTTGCCAACAGCCTGCATTTCAAATGTGTATTGATCTCCGGACACGAATATTGCTAGTACAGCTTTGCAGTCGCCTTTTGTAACGCAGTTCTGAGGTACTCCGAAACATAGTTTAGTGTCTGCACAGCCCTGGTAGATGATGTCGAGCGGAGCTGCTTCTTGTTTTGGCTGTAATAAATATTTACACCAGTTTTAGGATTATAGCACTTTTGTATGAGGGGAAAATCAATAAATGGTTTCTTCCGCCTGGGGTCGGGCGGGAGGGAGTGTCAGACTATTACTGACTAAAACCCCCCCGTTCCTTCTTCTGCTTTGGGCCGAGGCCGCGGTACCTCATTACGCTTGCCCCGCAACCCCGGCTGAACATCAGCCCTATAGGGCCCCGTCTGTGGTAGTCTATTGGCACATTGAGGCACGCGCGGAACTCCACGCGCCGTACGCTCGCGTCTGGTCAGGTGCCACGCTTACGGTGGCGGAGATCATCTCTAGACCTGGATTATAGGACTGAGGCTTCATTCCGGACATATTCCATCAAATAAGTTCTCATTTTTAATGATAATGAAAAAGGCAAAGCGTAACTTAGCCTCACTTTAAATAAAAAAAAAAAAAGGATTTTGTTCATTAGATGGCGGCTGCATGATTATGTAAGATTTTTTATTTTATAAATATGTATATAACGTGGATCCTCATTGAAGTCTGCTGAAATTCTCCGCGTGTGTGATAGGTTAGACCACCTAAGCCGAAATGAATAGAACAATAAAACTGAATTGATTAGTATGGTTGTACCTTGCTTTCCATTATGACGGGCGGTGGCTGCGTCGCCCTAGTGGTAGGAGGGGCTGCAGCGGGTGGACTGGTTACTGTGTCAGGAGTCACAACCTCTACTAAAGGAGACTCCACATTTTTCCAGAATGTCGCATAACTTTGGGCCACGGTCGCTCTATAAAATAGTCATGAATAAGCGATGAATATAGAAAATAGATTATCGGTCAAAAACTTATAAAATTATAAGTGTGTGAGAGCCATGCTTCGGCTCGACTGGAGTGGTACCACGGCCTTACAGAGAAACGGGCGTGAAACAACCAGCGTTGTGTTCCGCCGTGTGAGTGAGGTTACCGGAGGCCCTATTCTTCCCCTCACTTAATCCCTAAATCTCCAAACCCTAATCCCCGTAAAAGGTCGGCAACGCACTCGTAACTCCTCTGTTATTGCGGGTGTCCATCTTGCTTACCATCAGGTTATCCGTTTGCTCGAAAACAAAAAATAATAATAACATAACCACTACAAGGTTATGTGGTATTTTAGAGAATGTCGGTACCTGAACTCGATGCCCCCAAGGAAGTCGGTAGGTGCCTGCCACTGGAAGGTCATAGCAGGTTTGTCTTCGGGCGAGGAGTGTGTGACTGTGTCGTTGGGGTTGCTACAGGTGGCCAGGTGGGTCAGAGCTGTGTCTGGCACGCCAACAAACTTGCCCACTATTACATCTGGGTTCTGGAAGTAAAGAATATTAATGTAAGTACATTTAAGCTTAATTCTTATTAGGGACTCACAAATGGTATTTGTAAAATAACTGATGAAAAGTGGGTGTCTCGTTTAATATACTTAAGTACGTTTTAGGGGCGCGCAAAAAAAAAACATATTTTTTTCAAAATCCCGGTTATCCGCGGACGGATATGGTGAAGCTATAAAGGTTCCTAGTTTACTACGGAATCCTAAAACTGGTTCAATGTTTTAGGCCTAGAATAAAGAAAAATCTTGTTTATCTATATCTACTAATATTATAAAGAGGTAAAATTTGTAAGTTTGTATGTAGGGGGTAATCTTTGGAACAGCTGGTCGGATTGCCTAAATTCTTTTACTAATAGATAGCTACAATGTTCTTGAATGCTATAGGCTATAAAACATCACGCTAAGTTTAAATGAAGCCGAGCAGCGGATGAAACCGCGCGAGAGTAGCTAGATATAAGGCCGTAATGGTTTTTGTCTGGGTAAAGGTGTCCCAGTAAAATAAATGATCGAGATAATTGGTTTTGGCTATCTGTTGGCTCTTTACCATGAATACTTTCATATACGAATACAATCATAAAGCGACCTATTTTTTGTGTATTCATTCAAGTTGATCAAGTAATTTATACAACTGGCGAAGTGGCCAAGTGTGTTCACCATTTATGGAGAGCTTGGCCATTGCAACTGCAATTGGTATGCCAAGATACTAAAGCCATTGTTGATAGCACGGTATGAATGGATGCCTCATAGAACAGAAATGTAGTGCCAACACGCATAGTGGGAGAATACAGAAATAAAATAATTATGTAATACAATCTGAACAGGAAACAAAAACCATAAAAATATATTATAGTTGTATGAGAGGTAGGTATAACGGAGACAAGATTTTGTGCTGAACCTAGGTTACCTAATTACCTAGACACTTTATCGTAACTTAAATTAATTACGTCTAAGTATCCGTAAAAGTTTTAGTGTAATGTGATTTAATCCCCCCCATGCCTACTCAATCCCTTTTTTGAGGGGGGGAAATCATCAAGTGGTTTTTCTCGCCTAGGGCCAGCTCATGCGCTAGTCACGTCCAAGTGGGTCATGACCATTAAAATCATCCGTGATTATCGCACGATATCCGGGAAGATGGTGAACTTCCTTGCCGGATCACTGCCATGGGATTTGGAACCATGTCAGTGGTGTCTTAAATTCTCAATAATAATAGATAGTACATGTAAGGCCGCTATCCCACTGGACGCTTTACTAGCGTTGACAATAAACGTCGCGTTTGCTCAGCATCGACGCCGCGATATGGTATCGTCGCCGTCGTCGTCGTCGATACAATATTGTGAACTCTTACCTGTATCTGTCGAGCTTGTAAGATGAATCCCCCGATGGGCAGCGGAGCTCCTGCAGGGCTGCCGACAGTCACTTGAAGAGTGTCTCCCTGCCTCACTTGGGCTGTCGATGTCACGATGACGTAGGGAGGAGTTGAGGACTGAGCTTGGATGGACTCATGTCGCGGCGTTTGATCTATACACGCCTGGAATCATAAAAAAAAGGTTTTGTTATTTCTTTCTTCAATCTTGTGTTCTACCCAACAATCCACAGGATTAATATCTATTATTTTAGAATAATATTAAGTTAAGACGAATTAATGTAACAACTACTGATTGTCGAAATAAATAAATAAATACTACGTGTTGCGAGGGCGGGCAACACTAGTCATACGTCATTTTAACGCGCACACCCCCTATTTAGGTCGGATCTGTTAGAGAGAGAAAACTATTTTGGCGCGCTTTTGTACCTACTGTAAAACCGATTGCTTTAATTATATGTTTATTTATCAGTATCATTGTGTTTTCTTATTAAAAGTACCTATATTGTCTTTCTACGACATTCGTTATGGAGGCTATGCGTTATATTGTTTTTATTTTTTATTTATTCTTTATATACAATTGCATATCGGAGGACTTAATGCTAGAAGCATTTTCTGCCAGTCATTCTTATCCCTATTATATCTTAGTTGTTATTTACGAAACATTTACATACCTACATATATGTATAGTTAGGTATTGCCGTTATATAACCGTCTCTTTAGGAGACTTGGGAAGAATTTAAAATAAAATAGATTAAAAAAAATGCACTACATTGAGCTCGATGTTCAGCTCTTCTCATCCAACCACTGCCAGCCATCCTGCGGATTTCGTCCACCTAACTTTTTTTTGTCAGGGGATTATCATCAAATGACTTCTCCCCCCCAGGGTAAGGCGAGAGAGAGTGTCAGACCCTTACTTCTCCTGCTTCAGGTCGAGGCCGCGGTGCCACATTGCCTTTACTCCGCAACCCTGGCTAAACATCAGCCCTATAGGGCCCCGTCTGTGGTGGGCTTTTGGCTCTTGAGGCGCCAGTGCATTTAGCTGAAGGACTACACTACGTTATGTGTATAAAATTGATTAAATAATTTTCCAGTGACTTACCCCTGAAGGAGCTCCGGAGCCATACTGTTCGGTCTGGTGGATAGACATCAAGACTAGAATGCTGAGCAGCATCATATTTCTTTTCCTCGGCAACATTGTGACTGCTTCTGGAAATTAAAGAACAAATTGTTAATAGTCGTATAATAGACAGTACAATTTCTTTTTGTCAGAAGTAAATCATCTGATGACTTCTCCCGCCTAGGCTAAGGCGAGAGAGAGTATCAGACTCTTACTGACTAAACACCCCCCCGTTCCTTCTCCTGCTTTAGGCCGAGGCCGCAGTGCCACATTGTGCCTACCCTACAACCCCAGCTGAACATCAGCCCTGTTGGGCCCCGTCTATGGTGGTCTATTGACGCTTATAGACTGTACGTTTGGCGTTGTGGCTGGGCAACTGGCTGCCACGCAACACAGATCCGGATCAACTCGTTGATCCGGATCTGGGTGTGATGAGTATGTGTTAATGTTTGTAAACGCACCCACGACACAGTGAAAATCCTAGTGTAGGGTAACGTTTTCTAACAAAATGAAAAATAGAGTCAATATCAACAATAATCATTATTAAACCCATTCTGTACATTCTTAGACAGTCATTGATGCAGGTTTAGCATAATTCAAATAATTGCAAACTTAGTTCATACTAGCAAATTCTATCCGTTAGAAAGAGACGTCTATACACCCATAGAAGCAGGTCGGAGAGGGACAAAAGGTCTTATTAATGACACGCACGAGGAAGTGAGGTCAGGCAAAGTGAAGGGAACTGTATCACGGTACCGGGTGATGACGTCATCGGTTCATGGTGAATTTGAATCCTTAACAAAAGATACAATAGATTAATATTTACCCGAGATTGGGTAACTGGCGGAAGGTATCGATTCCCGCACGGAACAACTCTGTGGGATCCAGAATTTCCACAAATTGTTGTTCCGGGTCTGGGTGTGGTGTGTATAAAGTTAAAGTTCGACGGGCCCATAATCTGCCGTCACTACTTGACACTGGCAGTATAGTCGACAACATTAAATTGGAGACTCGGTTGCCATTCAAGAAAGAAAAAAAAAACTTTTTTAAACTATTTAAAAAGAAATTACGCTAATGACCCACATTTATAGTCGATTTTAAAATCTATCAAACCCCTAGCCAATAACGGCGTTCTTGCTCCGATTGTTCTTCTCAAACTGCGACCGAATTTTCGGTGACCTTTTCTATGTGATAGATCGGCAAACGAGCAGGCGGATTACCTGATGGTAAGCAATCAGCGCCGCCCATGGACACCCGCAACGGAGGAGTTACGAGTGCGTTGCCGACCTTTTAGGGATTAGGGATTTAGAGATTAAGGGATTGGGGGAGGGGAAGGATTACAAAATAAAGTTATTTTTTTATTGTCATATTCAGTATTTTTGCGAGTACCTACTGGCGATTAGGGATTTTTAGATTTAGGGATTGGGGAGGGACTGTGAGATTAGGGAAGATTGGGCCTCCGGTAGCCTCACTCACACGCCGAAACACAACGCTGTGGTTGGTTTTCTATGAGGCCGTGATATCACTCCGGTCGAGAAGACCCCGTTCGTGCCGAAGCATGGCTCTTCCACACTTACCTGACTCCAAGGCTGGCCATTGCCAAGCACTAATAATGATGATGATAAGGAAGCTCTCTTAAGTAGCAATTGCTAAATTGCTGACAATTAAGTGTTTAAGTGAAAAACAATGTTGACTACTTTATTTACATTTTCTCAAGCAATCAGCATTGTTATTGTTTGACCATGTTTAGGCAATGACACGCTCAGGTGAATTCAAGACAAAACATTACTACTTAAGTTATTGTAGTAATTTGATTTGAATGACCCGAGCGTACGTAGCGTAGCGTTTCGCGCGCGCCTCAAAGAACCAATAGACCACCACAGACGGGGTTCTATAGGGATTGCAGGGCAGGAGAAGGAACGGGGCGTTTTTAGTCAGTAAGGGTCTGTCAAGGAGTGTCAGACTCTTTGCACACAGGGGAAAGTCATTTAATTATTTCTCTGCCCTTTCCCCAATAAAAATTACTGTCTAAATCAGTAGCTATGAGTTAAGTACGAGAACGACAGAGTCGATTGGTTTGATATCCAAGGTTTGTCAGGAAAACTAGTAGTATTAAATGGCGATAAAATATGTGGCAATTGCTAGTCAAAATCAACAAAAACAAAAACAGCCTTTACAGAAATCCTCCTTACTAGAAGAACAATAGACGGCAGAAAGGTGTACTTCAAAATCAAAGCAAGATGGCACTTTCACAATAGGTAGTTTAGGACTTAGGTACCGTGACCTAACGAACAAAAACTTCGACTGACCGCAATGTGACCCGACGCCATGTTTTAATCCATTTTTTTTTAACTAACCATGACACAGCCTGTCCTAGGCATAAATTTACTATTCATATCCTTATTTTGTTGAATCAGTAAGCTACATGTTGACGATTGACTAATACAGTGACTTGACATATTATTATTGTACCTATGTTGTAACGAAATATTTTAGTCACGAATTTTTTCATCAGTTTACACATACTTGTAATATTTAGGTAGGTACCTACATGTGCTATATTTGGTCACGGAATTGCTTTGGCTGTATTTAATAAATAGTATAAACAGAGGTTACTTTTAAAATATTGTACGGTATGAAAAAACTGATTTTTAACTTTATACGTTGTTAATAACGTCTAAAATCTGTTCGAAACTTTGTTTTTAAACGTCTGACTGAAACTGAACAAGATCAGCAAACGCAACCTCATCGCTAGATGTACAAAATGAAGCATAGCAATGGAAATCGCTTTTGCACATTTTACAAAAAAATCAAGTGTTAAATTTTCTTTTTGTTTTGTGATGGTAGGGATAGGCAAACGAGCACACGGATTACCTGATAGTAAGCAATCAGCGCCGCTCATGGACACCCGCAATACAAAGGAGTTACGAGTGCATTGCTGTCATTTTAGTGATAAGGATTTGGGAGATTTCAGTATTGGAAAGGGGTGTTTGGGCCTCCGGTAACCTCACTTACACGACGATACACTACGCTGTGTTTGTTTCACGCCGGTGTTCTATGAGGCCGTGGTATGACTCCGGTCGAGCCGACCCATTCGTGTCGAAGAATGGCTCTCCCACACTTGTCAGCGAGTTGGAGGATAATCCGGCGTTTATGTAAAGCATCACGCACACGCACAAATTGAATGGTAATTTTACGCGTAAAAAGTAGGTGCTGACCTACTAATTGGCCTTTCATAGCCAATAAAGATTTCTTAAAGCGATTTCCATAATTTCCCCAAAGTGGGAAATCGAGGGCATTTACCCCCTAAAAATGTTATCGAAAAATTAAAAATGTTTGTAATAATGTTGTGTTGTCACCATGTTGTAACACGCAATCCAGTTTCTTGGCCGAAGCTTCTACATGGCGGTCATAAGGTTACACGATTGACTCAACACTTAAATTTCACTTGAGCTATGATCTAATATACTAAACTAATATTATAAAGAGGTAAAATTTGTAAGTTTATATGTAGGGGGTAATCTTTGGAACCGCTGGTCGGAATGCCAAAATTTCACTGATAGATAGCTACAATGTTCCTCAGTGCTATAGGCAATAAAACATCACGCTACGATAAAATGGAGCCGAGCAGCGGGTGAAACCGCGCGAGAGTAGCTAGTTAGCTATATGCTTAAATACATCGACAATACGTCCACTTAACTCTTTATATTATATCTTGGATTATCTGGACTTTATAAGAGACAAACCTTTTTTTGTGGGGGAGGGGGGGCAAAGCATCAAATGGCTTCTTCGGCCCGTGTATCAGACTCTTACTGACTAAAAACCCCTCGTACCTTCTCCAGCTCTAGGCCGAGGTCGCGCTTGTCCCGAACATCAGTCCTATAGGGCCCCGTCTGTGGTGGTCTCTTGGCTCCTCTTAAAAGGCGCTCTCTGTTAAGCCTATTAAAAGTCTAGCCAGTTAAACGTGAAGAGTGTAGCTTTTAATGTACAATAGTTTTGTAGACCTCGGTTATTGTTGATTAGCTAGGTTCTCGCGTGGTTTCACCCGCTGCTCGGCTCCATTTGATCGTAGCGTGATGTTTTATAGCCTATAGCACTCAGGAACATTGTAGCTATCTTTCAGTGTAAGAATTTTGGCAATCCAACCAGCGGTTCCAAAGATTACCCCCTACATACAAACGTACAAATTTTACCTCTTTATAATATTAGTATAGATGTAGCGACTAGTTACCAAGAAAATGTGCAATTCGTCCCGGCTAATAATAATGCTATTTGTTGTCGTTTCTAACGATAAGATGTTGTACTTTAATAGGTACTTTACATAAGTCATTAAATTAACATCATTGTGATAGTTGTCGTGGTAGCTCGGCGCCCGCTTCTCATGCATGAGGGCGCGGGTTCGGAACGTGGCAAGTACCAACGTGAGTTTTTCCGAGTTATATGTGTTTATTTTCTATGATTATTTAGACCACGGACATCGGTGAATGTAAATCGACGCCGAGTTGCTAGCCTGTCGGTTTTCTACCGGTTGCATTTCGGGGAATGTGCGTTGGAATTACATAATTTAATTCCGCCTAGCCCGTTCCATCATCGGACCACCAGACGTACCTACGGCATTGCGCCACCGGTACATGGTGGATGTCCCACATATACGTACAAAACGTTTTGGGAGCACATTTATTATGCGTACAGCCAAGGAGTGGAATTCCTTGCCGGAGTCGGTGTTTCCTGATAGTTACAATCTGGGTATCTTTAAGTCAAGAGTGAATAGGTTACTTCTAGGTAAGCGCGCTCCATCGTCGACCGCATCATCGCTTTCCATCAGATGAGATAGCGGTCAAGCGCGAACCTATAATAAATAAAAAAAAAAAAAAAAAAAAACATTGTGATGAAACCTGGTTAAGTTCTAATTACAAGTTTGAAATCGCCAATCCGCTTATCTATTAAAAAACCGAATCAAAATCCGTGCGTCGTTTTTTAGATTTAAGCTTTCAATCGTGGTAAGTAAGAAAAAATGTGCGCGATAGCCGGCGTTCGGTAGGGGTTTGATGAATTAAGCATACTTACAGGCTATAGGGACGGAGAAAAC